TTTTTTTTGAAACGGAATCTTGCTCTGTCACCAGGCTGGAGTGCAGTGGTGTGATCTTGGCTTACTGCAACCTCCACCTCCTGGGTTCAAGCAATTCCCCTGTCTCAGCCTTCCAAGTAGCTGGGACTACAGGTGCCCACCACCATGCCTGGCTAATTTTTTGTATTTTAGTAGAGATGAGGTTTCACCATGTTGGCCAGGATGGTCTCAATCTCCTGATCTTGTGATCCGCCCACCTCGGGCCTCCCAACGTGCGGGGTTACAGGCATGAGCCATCTCACCCGACCACACTTTGTTTTGTTTTTTGTTTTTTTGTGACAGAGTCTTACTCTTTCACCCAGGCTGGAGTGCAGTGGAGCAATCTGAGGTCACTGCTGCCCAAGTTCAAGCAATTCTCTGCCTCAGCCTCCCCGAGTAGCTGGGATTAAAGGCACCCACCACCACGCCCAGCTAATTTTTGCATTTTTAGTAGAGACAGGGTTTCACCACCTTGGCCAGGCTCCTCTTGAACTCCTGACCTCGTAATCCACCTGCCTTGGCCTCCCCAAATTCTGGGATTATATGTGTGATCCACTGCACCTGGCCTGTTTGGCTTATACTTTATGGGGTAACCAGACGGGACGCTGGGCAAAGCATTCCTGTGCTTTGAGCCTGCAAACTGGGTGGTTGAGGTCCCATCAATGATCTCAACTCCCCATGCAAGTCCCACCCTCAGGAACTTCGTTGGGCCAGCACACAGGAGTGCACAGACTCCCTTCTCTAGGACCTCCTTTATTTGTTATTTATTATTTGAGACAGAGTATCCTTCTGTCTCCCAGGCTGGAGTGCAGTGCGCTCAAGTAATCTTCCTGCCTCAACTTCCTGAACTGCTGGTACTACAGGTATGTGCTGCCACACCTAGATAATTTTTCAAAATGCTTTTGGAGAGACAGGGCCTTGCTACGGTGTCCAGGCTGGTCTCAAACTCCTGATCTCAAGTGATGCTCCCACTTTGTCCTCTCTAAGTGCTAGGTGTTAGGATTACAGGTGTTAGCCACTACACCTGGCCATCTCTCTGGGACTTTCAAAAAATGTGTGCTCCAAGCAGCAGAATATGGCTGTGATGCAGGGACCAGTCTGAGTGCCTGAGAATGGCACTCACGTATTACAAACAATGTGTCAATGTGGAAATAGAGTTTATTTAATTAGACATAATACCCGACTGCAAAAATTTTAAAGCATTTTCAGTACTTAATCATGACTTGTTTTTATCCCTTTTTAATTATTTTTAGGAGATATTTAAAATCCATTGCAGTATTAAACCATTAAATCTTGCAAAAGCCTAAATGCATAGTCATTAAACCCCAGGGGCCTGTAAAAAAAGCCGTGTCTCTTCTGGAAGTATGAAACCAGAACGGTAAAATCCTCTTGCAATGTAAGCTGAGCAGAATCACCATTACATGAAGCCAAGTCATTATTAACTAATTCAAATCAGAGAACACTTTCTTTTTTTTTTTTTTTTTTTTTTTTT